GTTCATTAGTAAACCGTCCATTACATGATTAGATCTGAATGAAAAAAAAAAGTATAAAAATGTATAGAAGAAGCACCACTATAATATATAAATGCCAAACAAGCTTGGACTGGACACCAACTCCTAATAAAATGGAACATGGTCAACTAACTCCGCAGGCTGAAGAGAGCACACCTCCCACCCCATGTCCTCGTCACATACAGAGGAACCATCAAGAGCATCATGACCAGCTGCATCTCAGTTTGGGAAGGAAGTTGCCTGACTGGAAGGATTTGAGAAGGGTGGGGAGAATAGCAGAGAAGATCATTAGGACAAATAAAATCAAATAAAGCAAATAAAATCAAGAGACAACTCACACCCACAATATGGACTGGGTATTCTGTTGACCTCAGGCAGGAGATTCCGCAACTTGATGACCAGAACCACCAGGTTCTGCAGCAGTTTCATCCCACGAGCTATCAGACTGTTGAACTCAGGTCACTAATGAAATGGGCAAAATGGCCTTCTCCTACTTCGCTCCTGTTTCCTGGAATATCTTGCAAAAAGATCTGAAGCGCTTGAACTTAACCTCTCTAAGTGGCTTCGAACATCTGCCAAGTTCCTGGAAAACACCAATGCAGACATGTTCCCGTTTTTAGTTTTCTACACAGCCTTACAGCCTAGCTGTTTTTTGTTACATTTTCTTTTAAATGCCATTTTATTAGCACTTGTTACTCTCAATTTGTATGCATCCTTTACGATTGTCTTTGTTGTCCACTGTTGTCATCACTCTTTGTGTAAACCAGGTCTCTCTTATAAATGAGTCCCCGAGGCTCAATGGGATTAACCTGCATAAATAAAGGTTGAATGAATGAAGTGACCACAACAGCAAACACACACACACAGACATTCCTAAACACCAAAGTCTTTAAAATTCATGGAAATGATGCACTCCTACACTGCTGTGGAGAAATGAAACAAAATTTTGTTCAGTTGTGCGTGGTGCACGGTACAATTTTGAATGACAATAACATCTTATATTATACATTATTATTATTATATTATCATGACTGAGCTGCAACTTTAGCGAACTCCACAAATTCTGTGCACACTTTTTTTCTCATTTTAAAGATTTTTACGTTTGTTGTCTGAAAAATTGTCGGTTTCTCAACAGAATCTCAATTTAAAATAAATAAATGGGGCAAACACTCCAATTTGAGCTATTTCTTCCAAGTTATAGAAGTTGTTCGCATCATTTACCCCATGTCTGTTTAGTTTTTTTCTACTACTGTATCATGATTTTGTACATTTGAACACTGTGAGAAAGGGGGGATGAACTCTGTGATCCACTGTTCAGATAATCATCAAACAAAGAAGAGATGGACAGATCAAAAAGGATAGAGAAAAGCTCAGGCTGTTAAAGTAATGAACAGAGAGACAAAGAAGCATCTGCTGAGATAAACCTACAGCAAAGAAGCACGATCTTCATCACTTTCTTCTCGTGTACGTTCCTATGACTTTTTATATAATGTTCCTTTCCTTGTATTTCTCTTTCAGTAAAAATATGACACAAAAAGCTGAGGAAAAGATGCTGTAACTTCCTGACCTCAGTGTAATGCATCAGAAGAAACAAACATTATCAATATTGACATTTTTATTATTTGTACAATAGAGACTTTAGTACATTATTCAAAACACCTCTTATATACTGAAAAATGGTAGGTCCTGAAGCCCAAAATGGCTCCAGAAAATTTGCTGCACAGCATTTTTTCCATTTTATACATATATTTTTTTTTGGTAAAAACTGTATCTTAAATAGTATGTACACATAGTGTCTGAAAAATGCATTCTAAACACATGATATATATTATATATACTTCGGCAATTGCATTTCTCCGCATCAAAATTCAAACTTAAAACTGGAAGGATTTTAACTTGCATGTGCAAATAAATAAAGAAATAAATAGTTCTGCTAGATCATCACTAAAGTGTGTCTGTCTTATAACTAGACAGTGTTTCTCTCTTCAGAGGCCCAAGTACGTTATGTCACACTACAGAAGAAGCAGCATTCAAGTTGGGTACGCAAGTACTGCAGAAAGCATGAGTACATTCACAATCAATATGAGCAATTTTGAATTGAAGTTCATTCACAGCTTATATACAGTGACGCCGTCCTCATTTGTTCATCTTTTATATCATTAAAGCACATAGAAAATGGCTGTCTTTATATTCATATACATATATATATATATAATATGTATTTGTATAACACAAATTCACAATTACAGTAGAAATACATTTTTATACAGTTTTGGATAGTACATGTGTAGGTCTCCAAGTCACACCGTGTGTACTTCTATCCATTTCTTTGATACAAGTGTCTTTACAAAATATCACAATTTTTGAGCAAAGCTAAGATATATCAATATATTTAGAAAGAATTACCTGAAACATATAGTAAAAAATATTTATATTATCAAACATTTTTCTATGTTCACATCGTAATAAGTTTTGATAGTTCAAACTCTAAATAGGATTCAATCTCTCTTTGAACTGTGCCATGTTGTATCCCTGTACGCTGGATTAACAAAAGCTCAATGCTCCCAAGGAGAGATGACACAAAATGGGCACAGAATGTCAAGAAAAGCAAAGGATGGTGAACAATTTTGTTTAGCTCGAGATGAAAGTGTCCTCCAGGAAAGTGTTGTGTTTGAAACTGTGGAAACTTCTGCCATATCCACAGAACTCAATAAAGTGATCATCTGTCTTTGGCCAAAAACTCCACTTTCCAAAGTCTCTGTGTCTGTTTCCACTAATTTTTCAAATATCATTTTTTAATGTCCAAGTTTAAATTAAACCAAATACTTGAATCTCCTTGTGATATTGAAACATTTCTATGTGAATCTGCAAAGCTACATTTCCATTTCCCCCCGTGTAACACTGCATAATCCTAAAAATCAAAGCTTGGCTCATGATGTGCAACTTTTGCCCGTCATAAACTTCCGCTACATGCCACAGTGGAACAGCTTGAGATTCTAAAACTTTAATAGTAACAACTTTGTCCAATTAAAGATTTATTAAATGCCAGCTGTATGAATTTTGCTGCAAGGAGAATTTAGTATGTTCCAAAAGTTTGATGAAAATATCTATTTAATAATAAAAGGAAGGTAACCGTTGATGTTGATAGTCTAATTCAGTGGTTCTCAAACTGGGGTTCCGGATTCCCAGGGGTCCGCGAGCACATAGATGTTTAACAACCCGTTAAAATACACCAAAATACAGGAAATTTTTTGACACCGACATTGTAAGTCTTTTAGCTGTGAAAGTGCTGATTCAGCTGTTTTTGTGCCCATCACACTGAAAGACCACAGATGACATCTTTACGTTTTATTTCCACAAAGGACAAAAATTGCACAAAGTTAACCCCGCCTAAAAACTCTTTTAAACTCTTAAATATTCCCTTAGAAGGAGGGGAAATCTAAATCATTGTAACGTTTCCTACAAAGACCATATATTATACCTGACATAACCGATTTCTCTGTGGACACTTCCATCAAATTGAGATGTGAAATGCTGGGAAATTTCAACAAAATGGCCTGATATAAAGCATGACCAAAGAAACCTGCTGTACTTTCAACCTGCATAAATAAAACTAGAAGAATGGTCGGGGATCTACATTGCATGAGCACAATGCATTAGCAATTACAATAAGATTTTAAAAAATCTATCAGCCTGTAGAAAAAGGCTGGTTGTTGGTCGTCAACCTCTTGAAAGAAAGCAGTGACTTCATGAATGCAAACAGCTAGAAAAATATGTTGACACTACAGTAAAAAGATGGCACAGAGCGTCTATTATTACTGATGCTTAGTCAGTTTGACTGGTTTTATATTAGACATTGTATTTTGTAGTCAGGATAAACTACAAATTGGGCACCATTATGCAGCAGTGCACAGGGCGCACCAGTGCAAACGTGCTGTGTGAGAGCACAGGGGTCCTTTTAGCTTTATGCGTGGTTGTGTGTGTACGTAATAGCATGATTCGCACAACTGATGGCACTACAGAACAAGGTAAGCTCTGCTGAAAAGCTCACTGAGCTGAGCCTCAGAAATATTGCTTTAGCTCATTTCAACACAGCTGTGCAGGCAACAGTTTCTCCAAAGTATAATCCCCTTAGCAATAATGAACGATGAAAAGTGTTTCCTTTAGAGATAAAATAGTGGTATATTTAAGAAAATGATCCATTAGGAGACATGATCCCTGTACAATCACATGAGAATTCAGAATATAGTTTATCAACAATAATTCTAGTAACCATAAACCTTTAGAGCTTTCTGTTCAGCTCCAAAAAGCTGAATCTTTGTTTCTGTACAAAAAAAGGCAGACAATTTTATGTTTTCAACATTTGTACACTGGAGGCAAAAACAACCCACAAAATAAAATCCAGGACGAAGGAAAGAACTTAATGAAAGACAAATAAAAAAAGAAGAAAAAAATATGAAATTTAGAAAAAGCAGAGTGGTCAAACCAACAAGAAGAACAAGGCAAGTGAACAAAGTGCTACACATATTTCAAATTCACATTATGTTGCACAAAGGACAGAGGGGAGTAAAAGGCCTCCATACTAAATAACAACACAAATCTATTCTGATTGACTGACTGATGAGATGATTGCCTAATTAATAAACCAGCCACACAATTCAAACTGCAGTAGCCCTGTAGGGACTCGGGAATGCAGAGTCCTCTCATGGTTCGTCCAGCCAACGATCAGATCCCTGACCTCTGGTAGACAGAAGAGCCGATATGTTTCCTATGGTACGTTTGGCACTGGTATTTGCCTTTGGTCCAGCAATAGGCAAATAAATGTCTGTTTCCCTCTAAAAAGTAAAAAATAAATAAAGAAAGAAAGTGGCTCATAATTCAGTTCCACAAGCCTCTAGAGGAGGGCAGGTGGGGTGGCTTTGGATGCCGATGAGTAGAGAAGAGAAGCCTTGCTTTATTTGTTAGTTTTTAAAAAACTATTTCTAGAGCATACTGCTGTCTCTCAGAACCACCAAGTTCACTGTCCGCGGGAAATTCTTCAGCAGAGAGACGGCTGTCTCGTGCTCCATGTGTAAAAAACTATGTCCGTTAGCCTGCAAGGCAAACACGCAGCACAGTCAACAGCATGTGTGTGCGCATGTATGTATAGAGGTATGTGTTCTGCAGATTTTCCATACACATGTCAATGTGTGAGTGTTTGTGGGAGGATGGAGGGTCACTGCCATCATTATCTCAGTAACACATCACTGTTGGGGAAAAGAGAGAGAAGAGGAGGAGCTACACAGTCATGCTGTAGAAAGAGAAGGGGTAAAGACAAAAAAGGGTTTTTTAGATGAGTTCATCCAGCTAAACTGTAAATCTTAGGAGTGGAGATGAGAAGGAATGGCTAGATGAAAGAATGGAAGACATGACATGAGGGAGGATTAATCTAACACTGAAAATAACTGACATTAAATGAATGGTTTGGTCACTTTGGAGGTGATGTTCTGTCAAATAAATATCAATAGTAGTTCGTAGGCCTCTCTTTATCAGCTGTGATATCAATCATGGAGAAAAGGGCAGTCTTATCTAGCCATTAGCTTTAAAGAAGACTTTTGCCCTTTTCTCCATACTCTGTGCTCTGTGACTGATGTCACGGCTGGTAAGATAAAGTAACCAGACTATCCCTTTAATACTCACATCACATAACTTTATTGTTTGAATCTAACAAAGTTAAGTCAGGTCCGCTGGATGGATTACAATTAAAAATAAAAATTAAAAACCGGTTGAAACGTTTTGTCTTTTATCCAAAATCCTTTGTCAGTCTGAGGAGCTGCAATAAACTCAGTCTTATAAATAACACCATCTCGTAGTGGATCAACCAGATGATCAACCAGGTGGAGGCCTCCGTGTTCAACGGTCCCTCTCTTACAATGCTGTCATTGCTGGTATCACTCAGCCCCCTGTGAACATCTGGCGGTCATCAGGGCACTAACAACCACTCATTAGGCTGATGCTCCTTTATCTTGTGAACAGCTACAGTAGTTCTGGATGTCAACAACAAGCTGGTTGATCCTGTATGAAAAGGTGCTATTTATAAGACTGAGTTTGTTGCAGCTCCTCAGACTGACAAAGTCTTTTAATAAAGACAAAATGTTTCAATGTTTTAATTTTTTATGTTTTTTTAATCCATCCAGAGGACCTGACTTAACTTTGGTAGATTTTTCTACTTGGATTATTGAGCATGCATCAGGATATTTATTGTTTGAAATTGACTGAAACTATATGAACTATGATAAAGATCCTTAAAATGACAAGAGTTTGAAATTTGTCTAATTATTAGTTATATTTATGGATTCAGTTTAACTGACTTATTTGAGAGCTGGGGGTGGGGGGTGATAAATGTGCTTTTTGTTTCCTTGTAAAAACAACCATGTTAATTTTATTAATTTCACATATTCACTTACCGCTTATTGCCACCCACATTTGTGTAAATATGTGAGGACAAGAATTTTGTTAAATGAAAATACTACAAGTCAGCTTTAATACAAACTGTGCATTGTTCAGTTATGCTCTGTTAGGCTAAAGATGATGAAAAGATGCAAAGTTATTTTTATTGCCATGTAATTATTCTTTTAAATAATATTCAGATATATTGTATCTCACTTGTGGCTTCTGACCTATACCATAGCTGCACTCAAAGCAGTTTTGGGATAATGTTTCTTAAATGTCTCTCCCACAAATAATACAAAATATTTGTTTTTTAAAGAAACTTGCTACTTTCATAATTAACTTAACTTCATAATTAACTTTTTTGTTTTGTGTCTAATGCCTATATTGTAAAATGTCCAATCAGAATTATTCCTTTATGTCATCACACTGAAAAATGCACAATTTGCTAAAATTAAAACATTTTGCATCCTGAAAGATAAGAACAAAACAAAAAGAAACAAACATTTTTTTTTAATGCATCCATCCATCCATTATATTCCACGTGTTCTGAAGCTGGGATACAGGGGCAACAGCTTGAGCAGGGAGGCCCAGACATCTCTTTCCACAGCCACTTCTTTCAGCTCTTCTGGGAGGATTTCAAGGTGTTCCCAGGCCAACTGAGAGACATAGTCTCTCCAGCATGCCCTGGGTCTTCCCTGGGTTCTCCTCCCAGTCGGATATGCCTGAAGCACCTCCCTAGGGAGGCGCCCAGAGGGCATTCTTACCAGATGCCCTTAACCACCTCAACTGGCTCCTCTCGACATGGAGGAGCAGCAGTATTTCTCTGAGTCTCTCCCGGATAACTGAACTTTTCACATTATCTCTAAGGGAGAGTCCAACTACCCTGTGGAGGAAACTCATTTCAACTGCCTGTATCCATGATCTCATTCTTTCGGTCACTACCCAGAGCTCATGATCATAGGTGAGGGTAGGAATGTAGACTGACCGGTAAACAGAGGGCTTTGCCTTACAGCTCAGCTCCCTCTTCACCACAACAGACTGGTACAAAGTCCACAATACTGCAGATGCTGCACCAATCCATCTGTCAATCTAATGTTCCATTCTTCACTCACTCGTGAACAAAACCCCAACATACTGGAACACCTCCACTTGAGGCAGAACCTCACCCTAGACCTGAAGAGAGCAATCCACCCTTTTCTGGTTGAGGACCATAGCTTCACATTTGGAGGTGCCGATTCTCATCCCAGCTGCTTCACACTCGGATGTGAACTGCTCCAGTGAGAGCTGAAGATCACAGCACAATGATGCCAACAGGACCACATCATCTGCAAAGAGCAGAGATGGAATCCTGAGGCGACCAAACTGGAATCCGTCCGCCCCATGACTGCACTGAGAAATTCTGTCCATAAAAGTTATGAACAGAATCATGACAACGGGCAGCACCGGCGGAGTCCAACCCCCACCCTGAAGGGGTCCAACTTACTGCCAGCAATGCAAATCAAACTCTTGCACCGCTTGTATAGGGACTGAACAGCCCATAACAATGTGCCCCCAATCTCATTCATATTCATGGAGCATCCCTCACAGTGTACCCCAAGGAACATGGTCGAATGCCTTTTCCAAGTTCACATGTAGAGTGGATGGGCAAACTCCTGAGAACCTAGTGAGGGTAAAGAGCTGATCCAGTGTTCCACAGCCAAGACGGAACCTGCATTGTTCCTCCTGGATCTGAGGTTAGACCAACGGTTGGTCTTGCCTCTCCAGTAGTCCTGAATAGACCTTATCAGGGAGGCTAAGGAGAGTGATACCCATGTAATTGGAGCACATCTTCTGGTCCCCCTTTTTGAAGAAGGTAACCACCACTCCAGTCTGCCAATCCAATGGCACTGCCCCACGCAATGTTGCAAAGGTGTGTCAACCAAAACAGCCCCACAACATCCAGAGCATTAAGTAAATCAGGGCAAATCTCATTCACCCCTGGAGCCCTGCCACCACATAGCTTTTTAATTACCTTGACGACCTCAGTCACGGTTATGGACAGACCAACCCCAAAGTCCCCCAACTCCGCTTCCTCCATGGAAGATGTGCCAGTGGGATTGAGAAAGTCTGAGAAGTATTCCTTCTACCTCCTGACGACATCACTGGTTGAGGTCAATATTGCCTCACCTTCACTGAACACAGTGTTAGTAAAGAGCTGCTTTCCCCTCCTCAGCCGTCGGACGGTTTGCCAGAATCTCCTCGGAACTGACTGAGAGTCTTTTTCAAAGTCTCACCAAACTCCTACCACATCCGAGCTTTTGCCTCAGCAACAGCCAAAGCTGTGAACTGCTTGGCCCTGTGGTACTCCTCAGCAACCTCTGGAGTCCCACTGGCCAACACGGACCGATAGGACTCCTTTTCCAGCTTGACAGCCTCCCTAACCCGGGGTGTCCACAACTGAGTTTGAGGATAGCCACTGCAAAAAGCATTGACATTCTTCTGGCCACAGCTCAAGGCAGCCACTTCAACAACTGAGTCGCGGAACTTGGCCCACTCGGACTCAATGTCCCTCGCCTCAGCTGGGATGTGGTTAAAGCTCTCCCATAGGAGTGAGTTGAAGTCTTTCTAATGAGTTCTTCTGCCAGGGGTTCCCAACAAACCCTTTCTACACGTTTGGGTCTACTGGGTCTTTCTGGCATCTTCCCCTGCCATCTGATCCAACTCACTACCAGGTGGTGAACAGTTGACAGCTCAACTCCTCTCTTCACCTGAGTGTCCAAAACAAATGGCCGCAAATCAGATGACATGACTACAAAGTCAATCATCGATCTACAACCTAGCGCATCCTGGTGCCAAGTGCACTTATGGACACCCTTATGTTGGAAAATGGTGTTTGTGATGGACAAACTATGACTAACACAGAAGTCCAACAACAGAACACTGCTCGAGTTCAAATCACAGAGGCCGTTCCTCCCACAATCACGCCCTTCCAAGTTACACTGTCATTACCCATGTGGGCATTGAAGGCCCCAGCTGGTGCACCTTCCAGCACCCCTGCCAAGGACTCCAAGAAGGCCAGATACTCTGAACTGCCGTTTGGCGCATAGGCACAAACAGCAGTCAGAGCTTGTCCCCCCATCCAAAGGCACAGGGAAGCTACCCTCTCATTTACAGAGGAAAACTCCAACACACAGGCACCAAGTCAGGGGTCTAAGAGTATACCCACACCAGCTTGGCACCTCTCAGCATGGGCAAGTCCAGAGTGGAATAAGGTCCAGCCCCTCTCAAGGAGGAGTTTTTCCTTTCCACTGTTGCCACTGTGCTTGCTCAGGATGGGAGACTGCAACGAAACCAAGAGTCAACTTGTCTGCTGCATTCCTTAGATAGAGAACTTTACTAATTGGCTTTTATGTATGTGAAAGTTCCTGTAAAGTGCCCTGAGACAACTTTGTTGTGATTTGGCGCTATATACTGTAAATAAACTAAATTGAATTGAATTGAAGGAGATCGGTTCCAGAGCCCATGCTGTGCCTCAAAGTGAACCCAACTATATCTAGTCGGTACCTCTCAATCTCATGCACAAACAAGCTCAGGCTTCTTTCCCGCCAGAGAGGTCACATTCCATGTTCCAAGAGCCAGCTTTGGTAAGCCAGGGTCAGAGTGCCACTTTTTTTTGTTTAGGTTTCTAAAATCTTAATACTCAGCGGTGTTTGTCACAAATCTGATAAAAGAAAGGGAATGACAGTTGGGGTGGGGGGGATGATGGTAGATGTAGTTCATGCCTGATTTCTGGATGGTACACACACAGAGGCAAGATATAAAGCAGTAACATCATCTAGCTTTTTACTCCATTGTAACACCAGCAAACAAGCTGACTTGTTATAATATTTGTAGAACATATGTGTCTTCTATAAATTTAGATTTAGATCTCTGGGCTGATCAACTATAAAAGGCTTTTCAGTTCCGCTGAATACCCTGCCTCTTTTTTTCAAAAGGTTGGAGGTGGAGGATGTTGCTGACTGTGGTCTGTTTGAAGACGAGTGGGAGGACATTACCTGAAGTATCTTGTCTCCAGGCTGCAGGGCAGCAGTGGCTGGTCCGTCATGCTGTACCCTAGTAACAAAGATACCCTATAAGTCAAAATGATACACCGTTAGGACAACACAGGGACAAGATGGTTTAGAATCTTTGCCTTTCTCATGCTTATCTCAGTATTCAACCCCAAACCCACATAAACAATTACCGGTAAATAAAATCATATTTATGCCAAAATAATTTGACCAAATGTAAATTTGTGGATGAATTCAAGTAAAGCAAATGCACCAAGGACAAAACTGTTACAAATTATAATAATCAAATATTACTTTCAATTGTCTTTCTAATAAAAAGTGTTTAAGTAGTTGTAAAAGTTTAGTTTTCTATATTGTCTCAAAATATATATATATTTCATAAATTTTACAGATTAAAAAATCTTGTTGAGGATGGACAAATATAAAGACTACATTTCTAGTAAATATTGAAGGAATATTGGGGGAAGGGTTTTGTTTTGGGGGAAATAAGTAGGAATCAGGAACGACAGAAGGAATTTCATCCCCTGCACATTCTCTCAAAAACCCAAGGCAGAGATTGTAAAAACACCAACATCTTTTCACCCAGAGCTGAAAGATGTTTTTGAACACAGAAAGTGTCAGACAATGCAGCTGCTGGAACTCCACATGGTTCAACAGATCAGGTACATGTTGAATGTGAAACAGAGAACTAAACACGTAAATGTGCCAAAGAAAATAATCAAAAACAATATTACAGTATGTGTGAGTGATTGCAGTAACAAACACGAATACAGCTTATTGGAGATATTAGTTAAGCTGCAATATATGACATTTATACAGTGAGCCTCATCTGTAAGTAGCGTGAAAACATTTATATTATGGCTGCAAACAGGGATATTTAACATGCAGAGTCATGCATGCATATATACAGTATTGTTGTTTGTAACTAAGTCCTGAGAGCATGGACTTAATGATAGTTCTTTTGAAGCTCGCTGTACAAGTGACTCTATTATCAGCTGAAACACTGGCAATATAGTCACAACAATTAAACATTTACACAGAATAAACAGTGACGCACAGAGCTGAAGCAAGCTGAAAAAAAAATCTGTTTCAAAGGTACTTTTTTTAAAAACATTACCATTTTTGCTACATTCTGACTGAAAATGAGTATTTTGCAGCTCACAGAAACACTTGTTTCTAAAGAATATGACAAATTATAGATTTTTTTTTTCTCTCAGAGGCAGGCACTACTGCATAACAAATACATAAGTAGAAAATTACATTTTAGAATTGCAGAAACTGGACTTGGAAAAAAAACCCCACCATGTTTTAATCTTAAAATAAATAAATAAAAACTTATGTTTTTAACCCTGTTATAATAATCTAATTCATCAAAGCTTGCCATCTCAATCCAGGCAGTACAGAAACTAGAAACTGGGTCTCTTCTTCTCACCGAGTCCTTATTAGCTGTGAAACTGACCCAGTGGGTCTCTCATAGTCTTATAAGTCAGACTTAGAGGCTTGCTGTCCTTTCTTTTGAGACACTTTCTTGGATTCTGTAAATAACATGTGAAACTTTTGTTATTTATTTATTTATTACAGGGATAATTTAATAGAATAGAATAGAAACCGCCTTTATTGTCCCACGGATGGGAAATTCAAGTGTAACAGCAGCAACAGATAAAAAGATTTACACAAAAAGTTCCTAAAATGTTAAAAATAATATTAAAAGAAATAAGATAAACCATAAAAACCATTAAAAAAAAAAAGAAAATAAAAACAAAGTTTTCAAGAAAAAAATCACCTCCATTGATGCCAAGCTGCTGAGACGGGCTGCCTGCTTGTGCGGTGCCGGAAGATAAAATCGTTTTAATAATGTTTTGCTCTGAGAACTATACTTGTTAGATTATTTTTCACATATATAGTTTATATTTTTTAATGCCAGCTATCAAATGCTGCTCATTCATCTTTTTAAAGTTGACTATATCTTTTTCTAAATCAAATAAATATAAATGTTTGTATTTTGTGTTTATGCTGCGTTTTCAATGAGTTTTATCAGTCCATGAGTAGAAATAGCACAAAGAACACTAGAGGGAGCTGCCAAACTGCGATACAGCTGCTGACGCCGACTTGAGGGGGCTCTGGTGATTAAAACCATTGGTGTTTCATTTAGAAATTCATGATCAACGATTAAAACTCAGGCTCAATTTAACGTCAGTGTCAAATGTGATAGTGTCCTATCCAAAAGTACATTTTAGCAGTGCAGATGCCTGATGAATTAAGCAGAAGTCAGAATAGAACATTTAATGCAAAATTTAAGGTCTAAATGATGGACTCTGAGTTGCAAAAAACACACAAAATACATATTATTACACTCAAATAAAATCCAATATTGTATTAAAATTATTGTGCGTAATTTGTCTGATCCTGTTAATCCTAACAGAAATCGCTGCACTCATTCAGATGATGAACCATGATGGTTGTTTTCACTGTTTTCAAGTCAGTTCAGTGTGTGTGGTCACCAAAACATTTTTTCAGCTGTCCCAGAACATAGCTGTCTCCACAATAATAATAGTCATATAAAAGCCAGACGTTATGTACTATGTTTTGTGCATGCTCGTGTAATTACTTGACATTCAGCCACATTCTGCTCATACCAGAAAATAATAATAATCTGCACTGAGTCCATCTGCTGCCTCTTTAAAATAGCATTAATAATGTACATGCTGCAGCTCATGGAAGCCTAATGGATCCAAGTATGAAGGGAACGATAAAATAACTGTCCTTGTCAGCAACTTTACCACCAGAGGTCAGCTTAAAAATAAAAGTTAAACGATGACTTGACAGTTTACATTCAAACTTCACCATTTGTCGCATGAACCATACAGGAGCAGAATGTTTAAAGAACTCTCCATCTTTTAAACTTCCTTTTAATAGACCAGCTGCCCTGTCAGTTAGTCATGTACTCAGAATAACAGGCAGGGGGATTTGTCATACGTTCCATCCTCAGATCAAAGTGTTGCACTTCTAAAATCACCCACAGTGCCCCAGAAGTTAGCAGCCTTACAAAAATGGAGCTTTGTGAACAGCCTTCCGCCTTTGACCGAATAAAGCAGCGTGTTTCTAGGACAGACTGCTTCGTACAACAGGCCTGAGGGATCTGCAACCCCAACAGGCTCTTGGTACAGACACACACTGATGGACTCAGTCAAACTTAGATGTCTAAGTGATAAAAGAGTTTGGAGTTTCTTGCGATGCTGGTGCATGTTTTATGTGTTAGTCTAACCATGCCACTAGATATAAGTCAAACTCAAAGTCACAATCAAATATCATCATGACCAAGGAGGTAAAACGTCAGATTTGGTTACATTTATATCATACCTCTAATGTTTTCACCAGTTTCATCACTTAACCCTGTATTAAACTGCTATTTTCCTACAGAATAATGTATACTCAATGTTAACCAAGTCAGCCTCTTCCCCACAGGCAGACAGACAGACAGACAAAACACTGCAGAGCAGCAGTTTCCACGGCAACTCTGAGGTAAAGCCGAGGAGGCTGTGATTGGCTGCCGAGCTGGGTCAGGTCGTACCATGTCGGAGGGTTTGAAGGGGTTCCCCTGGCCACTGATGCCACCAGAGATACTGAAACCAAGACCAGGATTCTTCTCTATTCTCACACACAACTAAAGAAGAGGAAAGGAGAAGAACAGGAAAAAAAAAAAGAAAGTGAAATACAAAAGAAGGGAAAAGCAGCTTTCCAAATGCAGAGTGAATGAACATGTGGAAGAGTGGCGTGTAACTCATTTTGGCAGCTATTTGGAAGCATTCGTCTCCCTGGCAGGAGCAACTGGACCACAAATATCCTTGTCAGTTTCTTTATGTTTGCCATAATGGGATCTATCTCATGTAAGGAGGAAAAAACAAAAATCCTTGGAAAGTTAGGCCTTTTCGGAGTGGTGCAAATGACTTCATGTTTGCATCTAAACTGCTACAGTAATTTACCAACTGTGAAATAGATTGGTTTCAGCACAGTCTGTTGCTCTTTGGAAGCTAAATTACATTTGGGTGTCCCAATTAACTCAACATTTTGCCTGCATTAGTTGCCTGTTTATTACACTGACATTAATAAAAGTCATCAACATCTATTTGCCAACATTATGCTCTCATTTGGCACCATTCTAGTTTAAATTTCATAAATGTGGTGAACACCAACCACATGTGTTTTTGCCCATTTTGTTTTCTGCTTCGTTGACAAGCAGCAAAAAGCTTAGATTAGAAATAAAAAAAAAAGTATAAAGTATACATTTTAATGTATCTAATTCACTAGAAGTTGAGCTTTTTCAAGGCTTTCAAATGCATCATAGCTTGCTCACCCTCTAATCCTGAATCCCCCAATTATGTAGAAAACAGCAGCAGGCTCTGCATTTATGTTTGGGAAGTGAGGGAAACAGCTCAGTAGAAGTTAGCGAGCTTTCAAAGATGCTAAATTAACAGACATGTGACACATTTCTAAAGAGAAGCAGCTCTGGATCTTTCATCCATGAGTGGTTCGAATTTCACAGGAAGTCTGAACAAACGCAGCTTATTTACAAGGAGTTGGCTCCGCTTTTTTCACATGGAGGAAACTCAATGTTTTCTGTGTTAGAAGGTTTATAGAAGTCATCTCGTCACTGTCCAAATTACACTGGACTTTCTGAAAGACACCCTCTGCCTGATAATGCTAAAAAGCTAAAAAGATGGAAAGCATGTAGTCTCAAGGCTGCAGCGGCTGTTCGGCTCAGAGGCTCGTTTTGTCGTGATGACAAACATGTCAGGGACAAAATGGCTGTCAATGTCAAACACAGTTTTAAATTCATAAAGAAGGAGTTATTATTGAACAAAAGGGTTTAAAGGATGGCCTTGTTGGTTGGAGGATGAACTTGTTAATTACTGCCATCATGAAAAGGTAAGTTTTGCTTTGCTAACTACTTTATTTGGTTTCCTCCACCTCTGACTCATTGTAGCTTGTGTTAAAATGTATCCAGAACAGTATTCACTGTGCTTTAAAATCAATGTGGTGTACTTATTTTACACCTTGGTAACTTATATTGACTGTGCTCTTTATGTGACATGAGCTGCTGTTCTAATCTGCAGGTCCAACACAGGTGTGATGTCAGATGTTCAGCCCACAAACACATATACTTCATGTTGTTTGAGAAAACATTTGATTGGTTTTGTGAGTTTGGCTCTGATCCATTGTCACCAGTGGTGCCTGAATGGAAATGGGTGATGGGTCAGACGACACAGTCATTTCTGCTGTTTTGTTTTTAGCAGCCTACGGAAATGAGGGCCAGAGGACCGAATTTGCGAGTCACAGTTCATCACTGCATTTTATTTATAGTGTTAAAATAACTATATTGTTTATTGTGTTAAGGCTCCAAAATGTTGCAATGTTAATTTTTGGTCTTATCGCTCGGCCTTAGTTTTATGAGGATGTTTCAGGCAGACAGGTGGACAGACAGATGTACCTGTTCCTGGAAACCATCTGTGCTCTTCTGGCCTTTAGTCTGCAGCAGACACCGAGCACTCTGAGGCCGCGGGTTGGTGTGGGTAGTCATGACAACCTGATTGCTGTGAACCATGCCTTGGTTAGCATGGTACTGAGGGTTGGTAGCAGGTAAGGGGGGCTGATGAGTGGAGTGGGGGTTATACTGGGTTTGGTTTCCAGATGAGGACAGAGCCATAGGGAGGCCACCACCTGGGTAAGCCTGGCCAGGAGATGGAAGAGCTATGTAGAACAAAATACAAGGCCAGTCAGCAACTGGTTATACAATTGCCTCAAGACACTAATAACTCCAGATACGTATACGTAGATTCCCTCAAAAAAATCACGTTCCTCATTTACCTTGAGAAATATTGCTCTGGTACTGTCCACCAGATGGAACCAGTGACAAAGTCATTCCTTGCTGGTACTGCCCACCCTTGTTCATCATGCCATCGTAACCTTGCTGCCCGACTACACGATGAGGCTGAGAGCTCGAGGAGGAAGAGGAGGAAGTGACAATCATGGTGTTGTGTGGCTGGTGTGAAGGGTTGTGTGAATGTCCACTCTGGAAAGAGGATATGACGGTCAGAAACCTGGTGTGACAAAGTATTTTGCACATAGTCATGATCACTTCTGCGTCACTTGTTTGGTTTTAAGCGTCAGCCATTCCACTTTTCCACATTTATTTCTGTATTTCTTGAATCAAACAAGTTTTAAAGACTAGAAAGAAACCAATAAAATATATTATTTGCAGAATAGTCAGTCCTTACCTTTTTCATGAGGTTGTCAGGGGGAACATCTCTTCTACCAAGTGAGTAGGGAACCCACTGGTTATTCCCTGACACCCCCTCCTGGTCATTTTCCAACATGGCACCCTGTTGAGAGGGCGTCTGAAAGAGATTAAAACATTACTAACTAAAGTTAAACTTTAACTAGTCTTTTTCTTCTTGCTTCAGTTTTTTATTTGTTATTCTAAGAGGAAATATGCTGTAACAACAAACAAACACATTTTCATTTGTAGATGTTGTAATATTGAACAGTTTAATACCTTAGAAACCTTATATTTAATTAGATTATGACAGTGCCCTTACAGCAAAATCAATTTCTAATAATTTATTTTACACAGATAATATTTTAAAACTTTAGACCTCTGTCGGCTTTGCATTACCTAATTATAAAACAAATACTAATAAATTCTTGTCCGAATTGACTCCAGGCTGCACTACAAGTGCTACAGCTAGCTGTTACTGCTGTTATTTATGCTTGTAAACACAGTAGTTCCTCGTTTATTGCAGGGGATCCGTACCCTGAAGCCCCATGGAGTAGGAATAGTAGTACAAATAGTAGGTAGTGGTTCATTTTAGTATTCATATACATATACATATTCATATACATATACATATATATATATACATATATATACATATATATATATATATATATATATATATATA